CACCCCCCCCCCCCCCCCAACCCCCACCCCCCCCCCCCACCCCCCCCCACCCCCCACCCCCCACCCCACCCCCCCCCCCACCCCAACCCCCCCCCCCACCCCCCCCCCCCCCCCCCCCCCCCCCCCCCCCCCGGGGGGGGGCCCCCCGAGACAGGCAAGCTTGAGGGCCAAATCTCGAGTGAGAGACATGGGTTAAGCAGAACCGGATCCAAGGGAAATATTAATGGTAGTATTACCTCTCATGTCTTTCTCACGCTCGAAAACAACAAAAGCATATCCACGATGGGGCTTCTTCTTCTTGTTTGGCCTTTCGTGGGCGTGTGTATCAGTCACGATACGAATCTGCAAAGATATTATCAGCATAAGAACAGGAAGCGGCGAAACCATCAAGTAAGGACTGTAACGTACGCGTTCGATAGGACCAAAACGTCCAAATTCCTTTTCTAGGTCGTGCTCGGTAGCATCATAGCTTAGTCGTGCGACAATCAAGGTCTTGAACGGATCGCCACGGATGTTAGGATCCTCGTTGGGCTTGTCTATAGTGAAATCATGTTAGTATTTCGATAAGAGTTGATGGGATTGAAGGAGGAAAAAAAAAACGTTAGAAAGACGGACAGTGTAATGGACCCTCGGTCAATATCCTCTCTTGTTGAGCCTTCTTTTCTAGCTTCTTCCTGTCGCGCATCTGCAGCCAGCTCTCAGTAGGGGTGTAATTGTCGCTTTCCTTATAGTAAGCAAGAGAAGGAAGATAATTGGCGACGCCGGTAATATTATGCGTTCTTCGCTGCTCGGGTGGGAAATCGGGAGCAGGCACCCATCGCAAAGGCGGTCGCGGCGCGAAGAGGGCGAGAAGATTTGGCGGAAGTTTGTCTGTCATTGTCGCGTCGTCGCTCTCTGGAATAGGAAACGAAAGTAGTAAATTTACAAATACAAGGAGAATCGGAAAGTTAAAGTTAAATGGAAGATATAAAAAAAGAAAGGAGGCCTTGCGAATAGACACAGTCTTTCAATGATGGATGAAAGAATTAAAAAGAGTCAAGTTAATTGTTTTTTCGCGTCGTTAGGGGAGAAGTCGAGGAAATTGCTTTGAAAGCTCCAAAAATGCTCCATTCAAATTTAGACTTAGCCTAGCCAGGTACACATGTACATACCTACGTACCTAGGTATGTTAACAAGTTTAGCCGACATATTTCCAGGCCAGAGATTGTGACTTTGAGAAGTACTTATCAAAGTACTTATCAAAGTACATGGCACTATATGCATCGAATCACGTATCTATCTGGTTTGGCGCTTGTAAATTCAGTTGGTACATAATAGTACTACCTCTTTATTTTCTTAACCAAAAGGTAAAATTTCAAAGCCGAACGTTGAACAATAGAAAACCTCGTCGTCGTCTTGAGTTCCCAAAGGCGCAACAATGACGATTAGGGCGTTGCAGAAGGTTTCCGTTGGCCAGGTAATAATCATCAACCGTGAAATTATTTAGCTATTGTCTTATTCGAAGTGAATCGCTAACACAATAGCAGAATAGCATCGGCGCCTTCATCCTGCAATGCAAGAAAATAGATGTCCACTATTGCGACTATTCCGGAAGTTCTAGAGGAATGAAGTGAGACCAACCCCATTTGAATGCTCGTGCTCGAGAGAACCTAATCCTAACTTCGCCTCCTCATTAAAAGTTCTTTTATCAAATCCCAGCTAGCCAAGTTCGCTTCCACTCATCCCCAGATCGAATTCGCCGTTTCCCCTCGACCACGAAAACACCCCGTGCTCATCGGTCACTACATCAATGGCAAGCAAAAGTCTATTTGCGTTAAGAACATGGATCCTCTCCAAATACTCAAAAAGATAGAATTGCTACGAGATGCGAGCGGCGAGAAGAATAAAAAGGTCAACAAGCCGGTCACGAGTATCAACGAGAGCGTAAGAGGCATATGGAGTCCTTACCACGGCACGGGTATGCCGGTATAAAGAGACCTAAATATCTAGAGAGGGTTATCCGGAGACCTTCTGACCCTTGTACGACTATATTCGGGCAAAGTGTACAACACGGTTCAAGGCGTATATACAACCAAGCCTAGGCCCGAAATTCAAGGCAGCATTTATGAATAAAATCATAACGAATTCACCCAGGCGTATTTGCAAGAACTTTTCTCAACCTCCGGGCTACTCTATTTTTATTTATTTTTTACTATGGAGTTTACATTAGATAGTGAGCTCGGAAGCTATAGCCTAGGATTTTATGGCCCATGCATGAACTTCCTCGTTGAATTGTCATGATTCCTCTCATTAGAGGTAGCATTCAGCTAATATTCCAAGCTTTCTCCCGTTTAAGCCCGGCTGTTGATGATGTCCACAACTATATTTCGTTAGCTTAGTCCAATGGCACAGAAAAAACACGGTAGCGAATATCTACACTTACATGCGGGCTTAAGGCTGGCACCACCGACGAGGAAGCCGTCGATGTCCTTCTCCTTACTGAGATCTTTACAGTTCTTCTCGCTGACACTACCGCCGTATAGAATTCTGGTTTCGTCGGCAACCTTTTGGCTTACCTCCTTCGCTAGCCAAGCACGGATAGACGCATGTACCTCCTGAGCCTGCTCTGTTGTAGCGACCTTGCCGGTACCGATGGCCCAGATAGGCTCATAGGCAATGACGATCCTGCTCCAATCCGATACCCGTGACCTTAATGCAGCTAACTGGGCAGCAATGACTTCCAGAGTCTTGCCGGCTTCTCGCTGCTCTAGGGACTCTCCACAGCACCAGATGACGTTAATGCCATTCTCGACAGCATACTTGGTTTTTGAAGCAACAACTTCGTCACTCTCAGCTAGGATAGTGCGTCGCTCAGAGTGACCGAGGATAACCCAGTCGATGCCACTGTCCTTCAGTTGGTGGACCGAGATCTCGCCGGTGAATGCACCGTTTGGCTTGTCAAAGACGTTCTGCGCGGCAACGCCGATTTCCTTCTTTACGTGCTCGCGGACGAAGACGAGGTAAAGGGCTGGCGGGGCTATGACGACCTCTAGAAAAAAAAAAAAGGCACAATAAGCAAAAGTCATATTATTATCAGTGGGGTAGATGGGGAAGAGGAAGTATTATTAACTCACCAACGTTGGGATCAAGCTGAGCTTTGTTCAAGTTGTCGACAATCTCCTTGATGGACGAGACTGTCCCGTTCCTATATTATTTGTCAGTCCGCATCAGTTTTTATGATATTACTTCGGATTCCCCCCTCAGCATTATCGTTTATTATCCTGTTGAAAGACATTGGATGTCTACAAAATTACGTATGTATGTATGGATGGATGGATGGAGGGGTCTTACATCTTGAAGTTGCCGCCAACGAAGAACTTGCGCGCCATGATGGATAATGAGGCAATTTGAGCTTGGTTATGTAAATAAGGTATTTCCAAAGAAAGATCGAGGCGGAATGTTCGAATTGAAGAATGTAGACAATTGGAAAATGACGCGGAAGTGAGGAGGAGAAAGCTTCGGAAGTTGTTAACGAGAAGAAAAACAGGCGATGTTTAATTCGATTTCATGGGTACAGCCCACTTTCCTTAGGCGGGGTCTTTACGTACGGGATGGGATGTAGGTATACCTAGGTACCGCATATTGTACCTAGGTAGGTAGTTTCTGCACGTGCAAGTAGTGGAGATTGCGCATTTATCTCAGTACTTAGTACTTCTCGCACCCCCAAGGGCCAACAGGTCTTTGTATAAGTATAGGTACATCAAACAAGGTTCTCATTACTACGGGATCCTCTTTTATATCTGTCATATTATTATAACTCAATATTCTTGCTGAATGTTGGCGTAAGATAACTACAAAGAAACAAAAAATGAAAAAAGACGTAGGACAACACATGTTTTTCACCCCACTAGATTTCAGTAGTGGAACCGACTCCTCCTCGTTCGAGGTAAACTATCGTCACTATCAGAATCATCCGTAACGTAAGACTCTTCATATCGTCTACCGCCATGTCTTAAGTTCGATGATCTCTCTCGGTCGAATGGGTCTTCCTCTAAGATTGACCCTTCCTGCATAAGATGTTCAAATTCTCTTCGCCGGCGACCATCCACTCGTGGCAGCACTGCGTCATAGTCGTCTCCATCACTGATAGACAGATCCTTGAAACGCGATATTCCATCATCAGTGTCCCTCTGTCGATCAGAAGTGGGTATATGTCTTCCACCATAAGGAGGAGTTGTCAACCTTGCTCCCAAGAGGATGCGTGGATTAGACGTTGAATATCGAGCTTCACGCTTTGTCCGCTCCTTTCTCTCGCGGAGGACGCCTGCCAAGTAAGCATCACCTATAGCTCTATCAATATCAACAGAGGACGTCTTCCCGGTCGAAGGACGTCTCGACTTGGGTGGCATCCGAACCCCATGTCCGTCGTCAAAATAATCCTTATGTTTTCTGTGATACTCTCTAGGCCCATCCCGATCATGCTTTCTACCCAAACTGCGAGCCGATCCGTGATCACTATTATGCACTCGTTTGAGGGTTCTACCTCTGTTGAGCGATTTAGACGAATAGGAAGTGTCTGGAGTTGTCTGGCTATCAAATGATCTATCCGACGACAAATAGTCCGAGTGGTCTGACTCACTTTCAATCTTGGCGTGCTTTATATTCGCAGGACTTACTTTTGTGCCGCCGCCAACGACAGCATTATTCATAGGACCTCCTATTCCTGGCCCTGGTTCTAGTCCCGGTGCTAACCCGTTAGGAGGCGGTGGAACCGGTTGTGGGCGATTACTGTTCGACCCCAGTGGTAGTCTAGTATCTACGGAACCTTGCCCTGGTAGAGGTATTCGATAGTCCGGGCCATGATGCGGATGAGACTGGGGTTGTGGTTGTAGTTGCGGTTGCGGGTACGGATGGGCGACGTGGTTGTTCTGTGAGAAGCGCATTCTTTTTTTCGCTTCATAAAGAGCGGGGATATCAGCTTCAGCTTTAGGCACGCGCTTAAAGTAAGTGGTCAAGGAAATCCTCTGGAAGGACCTGGGGTTGTCCCCATTCGTATCTCGATGTGGCTGCCTCCTGGGTACACCATGGTGTCTTCGAGACTGTCGGCGGTTTCTTGCAGCTACGGAAACGTACGGGCTATTAATTTCCGCGAGTTGATGGTCCAGTTGTACAAGCACCCAACGATAGTTAATCGGGTCTGGATTTTGCAACTTGAGCTCCTCTATTGTCTTGTCGATTTGTCGCTGAAGGACAGGACTTAGGGTTTTCAACTTTTCGGTAGGAGCTCGGGTCCTCCTATTCAAATATTGAACCCGACGCCTTATCTCCTCAGTCGACATGCTCTGAACCTGGGATATGATTGCTTGGTCCCACGTAGGGAGTCGTAACCGACCTTCGTCATCGTACCGACTTTGTGCTGTGTATTTCTCGAATCGGAAGAGAGCATACTCAGTGAGCTCTTCTTTCATGTCATCTACGGTCATAAGACCATGTCTCACATCCGAAATCTTAACGGAAGGGAACCCGCCACGCAGCGGGACTGCTTGCTGGTGTATAGACGCTTGCGGCTGCCCTACTATACGACCGCGAAATCCCGCAGCGGGCGCAGGTGCTTGATTTCTGTCTGATCCGTTAAAGGGCGGTGCTCCATGATTTTCGGTCATGTTGGTGATAGCTCAGCTGCACAAACACTATTTTCTCGAGAAAGGAAAATATGCACAAGGTAAAACCATGGACATCGAACTTGACTCAAAGTGTCAGACCTCTCGAATTGTAAATAAATAGGAGACGTGTAAGGGACCAAGACCCGAGTTAACTCGCTCTCGCGTGTAATTTCTTAATTTGCAGAAGGTGACGGATCTGGTTCACCACGGGGATTCTGGGGGAGGAGGCCTTGAACATATAAGTTTCAAACTAAGGGATCGATCACAAGCTAGCAGTTCTCTCCGTTCTCACATTACTACGTACCTAAGAGAAGGGCAAAGCAAGCTAGGTGTTACCGCTGCTTGGTTTGCGGCAACTTCACATCGTCACACCAAGCACTGAGAGCTTTCGTCCCTCGTTCCTCGTCATGATCACATGTAGATGTGCCCGGCGATCGCCCGGTCTGTATAGTTTTATGCCCAGTTCACTGCTCTCGTCATCTAATAGTGGCCAGAGAAGACAGAGAGACACCGCCCTGAAATGCTGTAAGATATGTTTCAAATCGATCAACTCCGATCTGCAAGAGTTCTGCATATGATATTGCCACGTAGTCCATCGTAAGGGCCTTTGTCTAGCAGGGCGAACTTAGGTGTATTAAGCCTAGAGCTCTCAAATTGATACCAAATCTGGCGGATCAACGACTGCCGCATCGCTAGCCTTGACTATTGTAAGCATGGCTTACAGCTCCGCGAGGGGTAGAGGCAGGAAAGTTTCGTATATATGAAGAATAGCGAGGCGCGGACATCCCTTTCTGCATATCTATCGGATTTCTACCAAGTCTCATGTCACCCTAGCCTCGTCTTGGGAACACAGTGATGTGTCCGTTTGCGATGTCCAATTTCTAGATCATAGCATGAGAAAAAAGCAAACACTCATCATTGGACATAATATAAGCCGAATCTATCAACCACCCACCTAGCACTTCCTCACCGAAGGAGCGAGGCTTGTTGACCAAGCGTTGTCATCATGCATCACACCTAATGAGACATCGACTGCGGGAATTCCTTGATGTTATCTATTCCCTGACTTGCTTAGCGTGGCTCTGCGACTTAACGGGAAGCGGTTCTGATGGTTGCCCCAAGGCGACCAAGTCTATATTAATCAAGGCTTGTTTTATCCCTAGCGTACTCAGCGTCAGATGCATAAACTGTATGCTTTTTCCATAGATGGCTATATTGTAGACAATATGTACACAAGACAAGCCGTTAGGGTTGTATTGGTAACGCCCTAGAATGTGGTAAGCCAAATAAGCACGCCCTGGCCTAGGCTACACACTATACTTTTCTTTCCAGCCTTTGGGGGGAATCATAAAACCAAACGTAGGGCGGGACTTATCTCATCTCGGTCTATATCTATAGTCTATAGAATACCCTGGACAAGTGTGTATAACTCAGAACCCGATATTATGCTATAGGTACCTACCTAGGTACGTATAATAAATTGCAAATTACACCTTGCTTGCGTTAACGACGTTGTCGCTGAACTGTGTGAAAGACGTATCCGCTCATGTGCAGCTTTAAATCCAAGACCGATCTAGATTCCCGTTATGGCTTCATGTCCGTCAGGCGACCTGAAGCCACCACAGACGGTGTCGGCCGCTTATCGAACTTGTAAACCCAGATATCACCCACCATATAAATCTGGGTCGCTTTGTCGCCCTGTCATATCTGCTTATAGGCCGTATCCCTTACCCAACGACATTTGAATACGGTAACAATTATATGGTTGTATGGGGAGGTTATGGATATAGGGAAGAGATAAGCAGAGAAAGTTTAACCCTATTAAGGTGTTAAGGCACTTTGGCGGAGTGGTTAACGCGATGCCCTGCTATAAATGTAGTGCGAAAGGCATTCCCTTCGGGGGCGTGTGTTCGAATCACACAGGTGTCGAAATTTTACCATCTTTATTTATAAGTTTTTTTTTTATATTTATTAATATTTATTAATTTTATTTTATTTTTAAATTTTATTTTTATTATTAATTAATATAAATAAAATAATTATAAAAAATATTAAATCTTTTTTATAATTTTATTATTATTAAAAATAATATAATTTTAAAATTTAATATAAAATATTTATTATTTATTTTTTAACCACATTTTTAAAGTTAATAATTACTTTAAAAATTTAATTAATATAAATTAAAGTATTTTAAGCTTTTAATATTAAAATAAGCTTTTATAGTTTTATTATATTTATAATTTTAAAAATATTATAAATTGTAAAAAAATAAAATTATAATTATGTTTTTTTATTAAATAATGTTAAAATTTCCTTAATATTAATAATTAAATTATTAAATACTTTTAATAAGTAAAAACGTAAATTTATAAGTTAAATTAACATTAATTATAAGTTATTTATTTTATTAAAAATTAAATAAAATTATTTCGAAAATAATTTAATAAATAATAATAATAAAAATCTTATAAACGGTTTTAATATTAATTAACTTTTTTTTAATTTTATTATTAAATAAAAACTTTAATTATTAACACTTTATATTAAAAAAATAAAAGATTAATAATAATAAATATATAAATATTAATTAATAAATATTTAAAATTATTTTTTAAAAAAAACTTTATTATTAATTTTTTTTATAAAATTATTATTATTTAATAAATATTTTTATTTTTTAAAAATATATGTTAAATATAAAAAGTTTAAATTTTTTTTATTAAATATATTAATTATATTATATTTTTAAACAGCATTAACTATTATAAGAATTAGATTCAAATGTAATTAACGCTTTTAAAAAAGCTCGAATTAAGATATTCGTTTCGGCTAAACGAGATTGCTTTTTTAAAAGGCCAACAGTATTAAAAAACTGTCCCGAGCCTTTTATACCTGTTTAACCACGTGAAGCTCCTAAATAACAGCAGTCGAAACCTCCTGCCAAACGGGGTTAGCCTCTTAAAAGGCTAATAGTACTAAAAGACCATCTTAAGCCTTCCATACCTGTTTAACCTGTTCAATCACGTAAAACCCCCGAATAACAGTAATTAAGGTTTCTTACCAAATAAAGTCGCCCTGTTAAAAGGCTAATAGTACCAGGGGATTACTTTTAGCTTTTTACAACCAATTAACCATATAAAGGCTACAATTCGCAGGAATTAAAGCTTTCCGTACAATATTTATTTTAATTATTAAAAAATAGTTTTTTAATAATTAAAATCTATAATAATAAAGTTATAAATAAATAATATAATATATATAATATTTTATACTAATTAAATAAATGTTTAAAAAATAAAATAAAAAATTAAAACTTATAATTTATATTATAAAAATAAAAATATTAATTTATTAAAAATTTATAAATTATTTAAATTTTTATAATTATTATTTATTAAAACTAATTTTAAAATTAAATTATTTAAATAAAATATTTAATATTATAATTTAACATTTATTTTTACTTTTATATATTATAAATTTATTAATAATAATATAATATTAAATTATTTTTAAATATAAAAAACTTTATATTATTAAATTAACTTAATAAATATAATATTAAATAAAAAATTATAATACATTTAATTTTATTTTTACAATTTAAAAGTAATTATAAAATATTATATATTAATTAAAAATAAAATCTTTTTAATAATGGAAAATATTATTAAAACTTTTTAAATTAATTAAAAATTTTTAAATTTTTTTATATATTTTTATATAAAAGTTTTAATTATTTATTTATTTTATATATATTCTTTCTTATTTTTTAATATAATTTTATAAAAAGATTAAGTAAAATCTAATATTTTTTTTAATTTTACTTTTATAATTATTATTAATATAAATTAATGTTTTTACTTTTAAATAATTTTTTTAATAATCTTTAATTAATCTTTATTTTATAATAAAGTAATTTTTATAAAACTTTTAAAAATAATTTTAATAATATAATACTAATTAAATATATTATTTATTTATTAATAACATTTATAAATTTAGAAAAATTTAATAATTATTATTTATAAATTTAATTATTTAATATTATTTATTACTTTTATAATAAACTTAAATTAATTAAAAATTAAAAATAAGTTTTTTTAAAATAAATTATAAGTAATTAGCTTAATATTAACATAAGAATTTTTAATCAAAAATATATAATATTTTTAATAAATGTTAATTATAATTATTAATTATAATTAATATATATTAATAAAATAATTTATGTAAAAGTAAATAAATTAAATTGTTTATATATAGTTAAAATCATTTACTTTAAAAGCTTTCTAAAGTTATTTTATGTTAAAACAATAATAAACCTTAATAACTATTTAATTTATAAGCAAAAACTTATAATCAAAATCCTTAATAAGAATTCAAAATTATAAACATTTAATAATAATTAAATAATTGCATATAACCTCTATTTAAATTAAAAATATTAAAGTTATAATAACATGAAAATATATATTTTAATAAAAATTATTAAATATATTTATAAAGGCAATAATAAAATTACTACATATTTATAAATAAAAAAACATAAATTAATTTTAATTAATAAATTTAAAATTATAATAAAATTAATAAATATTTATATAATTAATTTATTACACTTTTTAAACTCATAAATCTAATATTTAATATTTAATTATTTATGTTTTTAATAAAAATAAATTAATTTATAACATAAATAAAAATATGAAATTATTAACGTAAATAATTCAATAAAATTATTTAATATTAACCATATAATTTAATTATAATATAAGTAATTTTAGGAAATATAAATTAGTTAAATTTTTTATTTATAAGGATATTTAATATAATATTTTTAACGAGTTTATAAAATATAAAGCTTATTAAAAAATAAAAAAAGAATAGGAATACTTTTTTTTAAAAAAAAACAAGTATATTTGTTTTTAATAAATAATTAAAAATTATATTTACTTGCGGTATTAATAATAATAATTATTAATTACTTTTAAATATATAAATTAAATTGAAAAAATAATTTTATACTAATTTATTAAAAGTAATTATAAATTATGTTAATTTATTAATCCTTATTAAAATAATTTATTTTAATTATAAATTTTATTTAATTAAATAAGCTATTATAAAGAATTAAATTATAATAAAAAATAAAAAACAATTTTATAAAATTAAATATTATTGTAATAACCTTATTATTGAAAATAATTAAACAGCTATTAATAAAATAGTTATTTTTAACCAAGTAATTTTATTATATATTGAAAAACTTTATAATAATTATAAAGTTTAAATTTATATTTTTATAAGAAAGTTAAGCGCTTAAACCATTATACCAGACCATCATATAATATATATAAAGTTATAATATATTAACTTTTTAATAAATAATAAATACATATATTTTAAAATATAAAAATAATTAGTTAAAACTTATATAAAAAATAAATAAATATATAAAAGTATATAGTATTATTATTATAATAATATTCTTAAAGTTTTATAAAAATATAATTTTTATAATTATTTAAAATTAATAACATTTTATAACTTATTATATAACTTGTAATATATTTCTCAAAATATTTGAATTATTTTAAAATAATTTCATTCATTATTTAACCATTTTTAAAAAATTTAATAACTTAATTATTTAATATATGATTATCGTAATATTAAAATATAAAATTTAATTGAATTTTCCTCTTATTATAATATATTCTGAATTAATTAAACAATATATTATTAAAATACATATATTATTTTAAATATATATATAAACCGTTAACCCGTGTAAACCGCTAACTTGTGGTTTACATTATTATTAATAATAATTATTATATTATTAATATTTATTTTTTTAAATACATTTACTTATATTTATATATAAGTTTTAAAATGTTTTTTATTAAAAACTCTTTTAAATATTATTAATTTTAAATAAAATTATTCCGTAATTCTTTTAAAATATTTATTATAAATTAAATATAAATATTGAAATTTTATTTAATATTATTTTAATTAATAAACTTTAATTTATGATAAATAATATAATATATAATATATTAACTTAATTTTTATAATTAATATATTTTATATTTTTAAAAATAAATAATAAGTTTTTATTAAACTTATAAATTATAATTAATATTATATTTATTTTTTAAAATCTATCTTACTTTAAATAATATTAATTAAAAATCTTTACTTATATAATTTTCTAAAATACATAAATAATATAATTTATTTTCATTTTTTATATATAATAAATTATTATTATTTTTATTTAAATTTTAGTTATAATTTAAATTAACTTTTTATTAATATTATATTTACTTAAAGTATCTTTTTTAAAATTATTCAAAATAAACATAAATATTTTTATAATATAATTAAAATCTTTTATAATATTATTAAAATCTTTTTTAAAATCTTTTATTATTTTTTATATATTATTATTCTTTTCATTATAAAAAACCATTATTATAAAACATTTTTAATAAAAAATATTTATTTTTAAAAAAACCATTTTTATAAAGTTTTAATAAATAAAATAAATTAAACTAATAAAATTTTATTAAATAATATTAAAATTATTAATCTATTATTTTATTAATTAAAACTTAATAAACTTAATTTATCTTTTTTAATTTACTACCGTTGTAAGCATTTCTTTTTAATTTATTTTTTTATAATTAATTTTTCTTTTTTTTAAAAAAGTATTAATTTTTATAAGGTTTTAATTTAAGTATTAATAAAGCTTATTTTAAAATCATTTATAAAAAAACTAGGGAATTGGATAATAAAATATTTTAAAAAGAATTTACTAAACTTGATAAAAAAGTTTAATTTTTTAAAAAAGTTAAAAATTATTATTAATATATTTTTATTATTTTAAAAAAGATTTATTATATTATTTATACATA